CTGATCTCTCATTGGTTGCTTGTTTCAGAATCTCACACCTTATGAATTCGTCGAGGGAATGAAGAAAAAAGGAATCCGAGTCCCCGGGATTGGACACAGGTAGAAAACAGAACATTGCAAGAAACAAACAAATCTGCACACATTTTTCATGTCTGAAACCTGTTGTCTTCTTTTTGGTAGGATCAAGAGCAGAGACAACAGAGACAAAAGAGTGGAGCTGCTACAGAAATTTGCTCGGTCCAACTTCCCATCAGTGAAGTACATGGAGTACGCAGTGACAGTGGAGACATACACGCTCTCAAAAGCAAACAACCTCGTACTCAACGTTGATGGAGCCATAGGATCTCTCTTCTTGGACCTTCTAGCTGGAAGTGGGATGTTCACTAAGCAAGAGATCGACGAGATAGTTCAGATCGGTTATCTCAACGGTCTGTTTGTTCTTGCTCGCTCCATCGGTTTGATCGGGCACACGTTTGATCAGAAGAGATTGAAGCAGCCTCTGTATCGTCACCCATGGGAAGATGTGTTATACACCAAGTAAAACTCATCTCAATCCTATTTTTGTTATTATTCCAATTAATTAGCCTTTTTAAATTCTTCTGAGAGATGTTTACTAAAAAAATGCATATCTATATGCTCTTCTGTCTCTTTTGTTGTCATGTTTGTTTGTTTACTTCTTTTTTTCCATTCATATAAACCAATCTTCTATATGAAATGTTTTAGCTTAATAATAGCTTTGTTGGATTTAAAGTTTCCAAAAAGATAAAGTTCTCTCCTTAAATAAAATCATAATACATACTGCTTCTCGTGGATGTTCGAGCTAAAAGTTTATAAATAAAATAAAAATATGATCATGCTTGATATTATGAGTCATACATGTGACATGTCTATATCTTAATCGTGATTTGTCCTTCGAATTGTTGGTGATCTACCAATTTGTAGTCCAATATCAAGGTGACGATATAATAAATTACCAAGTCAAAGAATCTATAACCTCTCCTCTCTTTATGGATATAGATGCGTCGACGACGTTCTTTATTTTAACAATTATATATGTGGCAATATAACAACCATCAAACCATATATGATCTTTTGTATTCTGATTTTTCAAGTGATTAGTTTTTTTTTTACATGTCTAAATTTAAATTATGTGAATAAAACCAAACATCCCACCTTTTCCCTCATTAGGTTAAGTTTCTATTTTCAGACACGTAGTTTGTTTGGTGCCATACTTTTTTTTACCAACTACTATAATTTTTTAATTATCTTATATGAGGAAAACATATATATGTATATATAGTTGGTCAAATTACAAGGCCCAAATAAATACTTAAATGGGATCTTATTGTTTCCTCACCACTCACTACAAAAATTAATTTTGATTAGGATGGGTGTCGAACTGTCGAATCTTTGAAGTATCCGTGACTTGATTTTCAAAAGTTTGGTTATAAATGAATGTATGTAGATATTTACAATGACATTATTGCGAGTTTTAAAACATGTAACAAGAATGGTCACCGGATTATAAATCCATACTCATATAGTTCATTTAAAACGCCCAGAAAATTAATGATAAGATGGAGAAAATTGAGAGAGAGTGGGAAAGAGTTGACATTTGGAGCCAATAAGAGCTCCGATGCACGCGATCACAAGATTTAATTAAATTATATGAAGTGTATTCTTTGTGTGAATTAATTAAGCATGTTCATTGTAGTGATTACGACGTTAATTTGTACTCCCTCCGTCCTACAAAGATAGATTTTTTAGAAATTTCACATTCTTTAAGAAATAATGTATAATGACAATTTTAACCTTTTAATCATTTAATACATTTTTAAAAATATATTATTTATTGTTGTTTAATGAGGGTAAAATAGGTAAACTGTATTAAATTTGGCATTGGAAACCCAAAACTTCTATCTATGTGGGACAAATTTTTTTTCAAAAACATTCATCTTTGTGGGACGGAGGGAATATATCATAGCTAACCCGATGGAGAACTAATATCTTCATTTTTTAACAAAAAAAAAATATATTTTTTCATCAGAAAAGAACGAAAATTTTGCATATCAAAGCTAAATAGAAACATATATTTTTAATTATTAGATTTATGTTGGGACATAGATACAAAATAAACAATTAATACCAATCAATTTTGACAATAAAAACGAACAAATAAAGATCTAGAAAATATCCTAGAGTTTTTTTATATTTTATTGAATATGCCTTATATTTTTTTGAGTATATAGTTTTTTTTTTTTTTTTTTTTTTTTTTTTTTTTTTTATAGTTCATTTTAATTTGTAACTGTTTTGATTATTTCTGTTTATCTGTTTATTTTTTTGAGTATATAGTTCATTTTAATTTGTAACTGTATCTATTCTTTATTTTGAAAGTCAAATTTCTATTACAAAAGCATGTTTTATTATCGTCAATTCTTCAAAATAGCATACTCCGAGAGTTTCTAAAACGGAGTGTTTATTACTAAACTAAGCTATAGAAAAATAATAATTTTAGAAATAACTGATTGAAAAAAAAAACGTAAGTTATGAAATAACATGAACGACAAAAAAAGTTTCACATCGATAATGATTTGTATTTGTTTTTATCAAAAAAAAAAAAAAAGATAATGATTTGTACGGTCACAAACTCACAATAGAACAAAGAAAAACTAACCAATGGGAGACTTTAAATTTGAGCTTACCAAAAAGATAACTTTTTTTTCTTGAGTAATTAATGGAAATGGGTTGCATGCAAAATTAATTGTGTGGGGTCTTTTATTTAATGATAGCTAAAGTATAGTACTAGTATATCATTACACTAAATACTTACGAGATTTCTCATTTATTGAGCGTAATTATATGTGTGTGGATGGATTAGAGAATTTTGTTAGTCTAGTAGTATTTTATTTTATAAATCAAAAATTATTTTATAAATAGTTCTGTTGAATTTTTTTGTGTGTTTTATCATAATTTTTTAATAATTATATTCTGTACGAGTATTTTAATAAATTTATCATTCAACTGGAAAATGAATTATTAATTTTAAAATTAAGAACATTTTTTTGTCAAATTATAGGCTGCCGAAAAACACTTACGACAAATCAATCTATTTCCATCTTATCTGTTTTGTTTTTTAAAAAGGTCTTCACTTTTTCTTTATCTGCTCTTATAAAGGAAAAACCAAAAAAAAAAAAAGGAAAAACGGTCTATTTCCCCACGAGAAGTATGCGTATCATGCCAGATAGAGCCCGTTCTTTGACCTCGGTCTATATCTCCATGAAATCAAAGTTCTATTCTTATTTCCCTCCGAATCAAAAGTTCTATAGCTTAATGTCCCCGAAACAAAAATTCGAGAGCTAAAACCCCACAAAGCTGGGTTTAATCGGTTTAATGTATACAAAACCGATAAACAAACCAACTAAATCTAATTATAACCAGAATAAACCCAATTTTACCCGTTGACATAATAATTTGACCAGATCAAAACTATATCAAGCATGAACCGATTAGTTTCATAGAGCTCAAACCCAATCGTAAACAACAAACAGAGCCACATTGCCCAAACAATGGTAGACACAAATATGCCCGTAATTAACAAATCGAATCAACCCAAAGGTAGATCTTGAAGATTCAAATCAAAATCTAAAGCAAATTCTCTACTTTTTAAAACAATCAAGAACAAATTCATTGAGCTTTATTCTTCTGCATCTCCCTGGTTTCTACTGACTGTTCTCTTTTATCAACTAAGCATTTTACAAGGTTGTACTGTTCTCTTGTATTGTACAAGGTCGTTTGTGACGAAGACGCCGTCGTAGATCCGAAGGTTGTTGAAGAAGAAGACGAGTGAAGAAGCTTTTTGGACGTTTCGCGACGGGAAGAGGAGGAGGGGAGAGAGATGGAAACAGCTTCATTGTTTCTTCCACTTCAGTTGTTTGATGGATTTGAGATCTGATAAGTGAAGAAGCTGTGCGGTGGCGGCGACGGCGTCGTTGGGAAATAGGTGGTTACGGTTGACTCGTCGACTTGTAGAAGAGCTGATCCAACTGAGTTGACTCAGCGAGGTGGTGACGTTTGAAGAGAGACAAAGTAGAGTCGAGGAAAATCGAGTCTTCACGTGAGAGAGATAGGTCGAGATGGTGGTGGTGGTCGGAGAGGGTGAAGGCAGAGGGAGTGAAATCAGAAAGTGGAAATTACAATTGAATTTGATTATTTGTTAATTACAATGAATTTCTCCAATGAGCTTTTGTAATTCTGATATCAAATTTATCAAAATCGTTTTTGTTGATTGAAGAATTGTGTGAAGAAGAAGGTGATATCGGATCGGATCATTTACGGGTCGGTCATTTTTTAATTCATTTTAGAATCAAATTTTAGTGGTTTGGTATTCGGTTTGGTATTCGATTTACTTTGGGTTGAAAGCGTAAACCGATATAACCCAGTTTCGGAGACATAAAGCTATAGAACTTTCGATTCGGAGGGAAATAAGAATAGAACTTTGATTTCGTGGAGATATAGACCGAGGTCAAAGAACGGGCTCTATCTGGCGTGATACGCATACTTCTCAGGGGGAAATAGACCGTTTTTCCCAAAAAAGCAGCCAAACTTAATTAAATTTGAATCTAATTAACATTTATCACTAAATCCAAAAGCTGCCTAAGTATCATTAAGCAGGTGATTAACTATTTTGTTTGTATTTAGAAACAAAAATCTAGATTATTTAATTACATAATCTCCCCACTATAATAAACAACTTAAGTTAAGTGTAGATGTTAATCAACTTTAATCGTTTATTATTTAGGAAGAAAAAAAAAATCTATAACAAGCAAAAAAAAATAAGAACAAAATGAGAAACCTAAAACCAGAAAAAAAGGAATCAAAACAAAGAAAGATAAGCACAGAAGTTTTCCTTCATTGTTGACTCTCTCCAGATTCTGTTTCTTCTTCTTCCTAAATCCATCTCTCAAGCTTTTCCACCATTTTTGTCGTGATTCAGCTTCTCCGATTCAAACTCAGATTTGATCTCCGTTGTGTTTCATCTACACTGGATTTGATTTGATTTGTTTTTTTTCGCAATGGAGAAGACGACTCCACCAGCGGAGGAGCTTCTAAAGAAGATACGAGAGTTAGAAGAAAGCCAAGAGCATCTAAAGCGAGAGATGTCGAGACTTAAAGTATCGGCGGAGATGAAGCAGCGTTCGCATTCAGCGTCACCGCAACGGCCTGTGAGGAGAAATAGTGGAGATGGAACTCCGATGTGGAGAAAAAGCGGTGCGGCTTCGTTTCGTCATGCTTCGCCGTTGCGTAAGGAGAGCCATGCGAAAGTTGCCGGCGGCGAGGGACAATCGGCAGGCAAGTTCACCGATAAACAGTATTTGAATATTTTGCAGTCTATGGCTCAAGCTGTTCATGTCTTCGATCTAAATGGCCAAATTATCTTTTGGTGAGTATTAGTTAGATTTTGATTCCTATAGTTTCGTTGTTGAGCTCGTTTTGTTTGTAATGTATATGTATTATTAGTAGCTGATATTGTCCCAACTGATATTCAGATTCGAAATTCCAGGAACTCAATGGCGGAAAGGCTTTATGGATTCTCAGCTGCTGAAGCACTTGGGAAGGATCCGATTGATATTCTTGTAGATGGTCAGGACGCTTCGGTTGCACAAAATATTACTCGGCGTTGCAGTAGTGGAGAGAGTTGGACTGGTGAGTTTCCTGTAAAGAACAAAGCGGGAGAGAGGTTTTCAGTTGTGACTACGATGTCTCCTTCTTATGATGATGATGGTTCTCTTATTGGGATCATATGTATAACAAATGATTCGGCACTCTTTCAAGACCCGAGAGGCTCTCCGGCTAAGACAAGGGGGCAAGAAGGGGAGACGAGCTTTAGTCGGGTGACTAGTAGTGTTGCATCTAAGCTTGGTCTTGACTCGAAAGAGGCTGTTGTATCGAAACTCGGACTTGATTCTCAGCAGCCTATACAAGTTGCTATAGCTTCAAAGATATCAGATTTGGTTAGTTTTAATTGTAGGTTGCAAATTCTCATCTTTTAGTATACTGTCGTTTTGACTAGGGTGGTCAACATTTCAGGCATCTAAGGTGGGCAACAAGGTCAAGTCAAAAATGCGAGCAGGTGATAATAATGCTGCAAATCTTGAGGGTGGAAGTGGGGACAGTCATCAGTCCGATCAGGGTTTCTTTGATGCTGCTATCTCTGACCGGAGGGAGGATGCAGCAACAAGTGGTGCTGATACACCTAGGGGGGATTTTATCCAATCTCCATTTGGTGTATTCTTACGTAGCGATGAGAAGGCTTCTTCAAAGCCCTTCAGAGATTCCAGTGATGAAAATGATGGAAACTCTGTTATCCCTAAAACACTGACCTCAAAAGCTGAAGAGTGGATGGCAAAGAAAGGATTATCATGGCCGTGGAAAGGGAATGAAAGGGAAGGTTTGGAAGGAAGGCGTAGTCATTCTGTGTGGCCTTGGATGCAGAATGAACAACAAAAAGAACAGGCTTATCAAACTAATTCTAATCACAGTGTTAAGTCTGAAAGCCAGGCATGTGAAAGTATTAAGGCTTCCAGTAACGAGCCTATGGGGTTTTGGTCTTCCTCCGTTAATGTGAACAGCACAAGCAGTAGTAGCAGCTGCGGAAGTACCAGCAGCAGTGTTATGAACAAGGTCGATATGGATAGTGACTGCTTGGATTATGAAATCTTATGGGAGGACTTGACAATTGGAGAACAAATCGGGCAAGGTGATGAACTCATTTGAGAAAGATGAACACTTTTGCAAAAAAATCCATCCTTCAAGACATCTTACGATTTATGTGGTTTTCTTGTCTCTGTTCTGCTAAGATGTTAAGACAGTTTTCCCTTTTTATACATACAGGTTCATGCGGGACTGTCTATCACGGTCTGTGGTTTGGATCTGTACGTTCTTGCCTTCTATAGATGTTGTAGAATATGCATCATCGATATTTACAAGTCTCCTTGAGAAAATCATGAGCAAAGGTGTTTTCCAAACAAGAATATTACTAAGAGTTGCTAATGTCACTGCAGGATGTGGCTGTAAAGGTGTTTTCCAAACAAGAATATTCAGAAGAGATCATAACATCTTTTAGACAAGAGGTATTATGTTTTCTATCGATTCTCTAAGCATGTTTGGTAAAAGAAAATTGATTTTTTATTTGGTTTTTTTAGTGAGCCACACCTGCCTTCCCATCTTTCTTAGTTTCTTTCGTTAGAAAATTTTGTCCCTAAACTACCACAGTTTTCCCATATGTAATCTTCTTCCGAACTTCATCTACTCAGAAAATTAATCATTTCTGAAACCAGCTTAGCTACTCATTCTAATTTTGAAGTACATATGGTGGACTTTCTTTCTGCAGGTATCATTGATGAAAAGACTTAGACATCCGAACGTTTTGCTATTTATGGGAGCTGTGACGTCGCCTCAGCGTCTCTGTATAGTAACAGAGTTCCTTCCACGGTTCGGTCTCATCTCTTTGGCTAATATTACACGTCCTTTTTTGCTTTTTAAAATCCGGGGCCAAAACTCTAACTCACCCCTAAATTTATCAAATAACATATGCAGTGGAAGTCTCTTCCGTTTGCTGCAGAGGAACACGTCAAAACTGGATTGGAGGCGACGTATCCATATGGCCTCGGACATTGTGAGTATTACTCACACACGTATTTTCCAGTTGTGTGACCATTGATAATTGCATACCCACTGTTTTCTAAGTAAATTAAGCTGCTCTTTTTTTGTTCTTACTTGCATCTGTCTTGCATATCATTTTTTTCCTTTCTAAGATTCAGCCACTGTATCTCTTCTACAACATGTTACATAGTTTTTCTTACATACTTCTTCCCACAGGCTCGTGGCATGAATTATCTTCACCATTGTACTCCACCCATCATTCACCGAGATCTGAAGTCGTCAAATCTACTGGTTGATCGAAACTGGACCGTGAAGGTATTGTTTTCATTTCCACCTTCATCGAATTTCAGTGGATGAAATAGATATGGATGTCTCCAGTGAATTTTGATTTATTTCATTTTGTTGTGACATGGGTTGAATATATTAGTCTAGGTACAACATAATAAAGTTATTAGGTCTACTAATTCTGTTGTTTTAGAACTGAGAAGTTGTATAAGAAACTTATAACTCGATACACGAAAGTTATTAGGTTTACTCTGTTTTGTCAGAACTGAGAAGTTGTATGAGAAACCTATAAGCATTGACGTTCTACTCATCGGACTTTAATGCAAAATGGAAAATCAGATAAATATATTCTATTCAGCAAATGAAGCTTTAGATAATGATTCGTTGTGAATATACCAGAAAAGAGAGGCTTGGATCTTGATTGCAGAACGAGAAATTAATATTGACCAAAACAAAGGCTCTGCTTGTCATAGTTAACTTACCGTGTCATCTCTACAGGTTGCTGATTTTGGTCTTTCGCGTATCAAGCATGAGACATACCTCACTACTAAGACTGGAAGGGGAACGGTACTTAACATAGACTCTTACCGAATTGATTCCTTTTTTTATGAAGTCAATTCTCTCAGGATGAAAATTCCATTGCCTTTTACCTCTGTTGCAGCCTCAATGGATGGCACCAGAAGTTCTTCGAAATGAGGCTGCTGATGAAAAGTATATTCCCATTTACTGCTTAGTTAAGTTCCTTTCCTGATTGCTGTTCTAGCCTTTATCTCTGACAATGTTCCTCCGACTCGTTAAATGACAGGTCCGACGTTTACAGCTTTGGAGTAATACTATGGGAGCTTGTGACTGAGAAGATCCCGTGGGAAAATCTAAATCCCATGCAGGTATAATTTCCACATTTAGGTAAAAATTGTCAAGAATTGTCCCCAAATAAAAATTGGACTAGGGGAATCTAAATTGCAGTCATGTCTTAAAGCTATACAAGGCCATATTAGTCCAAGGAAGAATCTCAATGGTACAAATACTGCAGAAATTTGGTTGCTGCTACAACATCTAGCTTCCATCAACCCTTACTCAGTAAAGTATGTTGGGAAAGCATATGACACACTTGTGTATTGTAATATACTAATATTAATGTAAAAAAATCAGTATTATCTTACTATAAAAAACACCTGCCTATAACTGCAAGTTCAGTGACTTGATGATCTTTTTCTGTCAAATGAAAAGGATACATTTGTACGAGTTAGAGGTCTTGTTCCATCGCAAAACATCTCTCCTGTTTAAGAAAGTTTGCATATTATGTCTCCTCTTAGTTCCTAAAACGTAATATGAAGAGAAGTCTATTTAGGATACTTGCAGGTGATTGGAGCTGTGGGGTTCATGAACCAGAGGCTGGAAGTCCCGAAGAATGTTGATCCTCAGTGGATTTCTTTAATGGAAAGCTGCTGGCATAGGTATGTATAACACACTTAACATTACATATACCTTGCTAGAAAAACGTAGCCTCCATTGTGTTGCATAAAGGAGGGACCAAAACCTGGTTTTTTCAGAAACACTTACATCATATGCCACAGTCTCTGCTTTCTGCAGTAGATGCTGAAAGTTTGTGTCATTTCACTGAAGAATGAGTAGATAAAACTGATTTTTTTTGTTTGTTAGCGTGTTTATTGTATCTAACAGAGAAAGAAAGTAAATATGCTTGAAACTCATACAATGCAAACTTTGGAATAGTTGATAACGTTAAAGAAACCTATAAGTAAACAAAAGTTTGATGAGTGTAAGTATGGTGTCATTTTTGATCTTTTAAACAAGAAAGATTGGTACCATGATTAGTGTAACTTTGGTGTCATTTTTGATCTTTTGTAGTTTTTTCTTTCAACCGAACCGCAGAAAGGTAATATAGAATAGATATTTAAACTCTTTTACCTAAACAAATAGCTGATAAACATTCTTAAACTCTTACACAGCTATGTTTGATTAATGTGTCTTTGTAGTAAATGAAGCAGCAGCTAATGTTAGTAAGATAATTTTTGCAGTGAACCGCAGCACAGACCATCGTTTCAAGAAATCATGGAGAAACTAAGAGAGCTTCAAAGAAAGTACACAATACAGTTCCAGGCGGCTCGTGCTGCATCAATAGAAAACTCTGCCCTCAAGGAAAAATAAACCATTAAATGGACAGGGCAGAATCTGATTATGCATGTATGCGTTGACGAGGCTGAGCTACGTAAGCAAAGCAGAAAGGTGTTTTGTGTTTGTGTTGAAGCTCAATGACGAGAAGCACCAAAAAGAAGAGTTTTGGTATATGCGACTATATTCTCTCTCATTACAAGAGCCATTCTTTTGTATGGAATTGATTCTGAAAACGTCATGTGCTTGCGAGGCGAGCTAGAGAGGTTATTTATATAAAACCATGATGCCTGATACAGACCCAATTTTTTAAGAATAGTCTGTACAGGTGAGAAAGTATGCGATAGAATCAAGATTTGGAACAGTGATTTTGAGTAAATATTGCCACTTTTTATTGGAAAACGTACGCCTCGTTATTGTTTGTGCATTTGGAGTTGGGTTATCAATTTTCGTATAAGACTCTTCCGAGGTTTGTCGACTCGGTTTTGCATACTATTCTGAACTAGAGTCTTACACGGTTACACCAATTTTCAATTTGGCTATATTTGATAGTTTCAGAATCACGAATCATATAACTGTGATCCGTGAAGAGCTAACTTTGGAGTATACTAATGCATCATTTGAGCCGAAAAGAACGTCTTGACTTGATGAACATCATTTAAAGTAGTCTTGGAACATAACCAAACATAGTTGGGCAACTATATATGCCTCTATAATCAATAAAACCAAAACCGGGAGATACTTTGTATTCATGTTCTCCAACAATGTATACCTTGTTGAATATCTTCTTCTTTTGGTCTTTCTCACAACACACGGCAACTTTCTTCTCCTCGTCAATGAAAAAACTCATGCTAAGCGAAAACATATGAGGATGAGGTTTAAAATCCACTGTTAAGAACTTGTTCCATGACACAGATGTGGTCTCAATCTCATTGGTTATCCATATTTCCATCTTTTGTGTCACAACACTCTGAAATAACAACGAAAGATGTTCTTCTCTAACAACCGATAGAGCCATAGCATCATCGAAACAACCGTCATAGGAATAATCATCATCCAAAAATTGTTCAAAGGAATAATCATCATCGAAACAATCTGCTTCCTGATGAAAGGGAACCCACAAAAGTTGGAATCTTTCCGTCGAAAAATCAAAACTAAGTAGAGAGTACTCAATGTCTCCTCTTCGTTTAAACAACCAATAAACATTTCCTTTCAAAGACACGCCACGAGATTTCAAGCAGCCTTTAGGAATGATGACATGAAGATTCCTCCAAGAATCAGAGCTAAACTCATAGATTTCCAATTTTTTGTTGTATCTATCCAGATTCAAGATTTTGTAGCTATGGCACAATTCATTCTTGTCGTATCCGAGAGCATAGTCATTGTTTATCCTGAGATGATTTTTCGGATTGATCCATTGAGTTTGCCCCGAAAACAGGTTCCAAACCACAAACATGTTTCCTTTGGTGGTGCATAACAATATGCCATCACAGTGAAAGGCATGAGATAAATCGACTTCTGATTTACGATGGGGATCGATTAGGTTAAGTCCACGTTTAAACAAGGGAGCAACGTTCATGCTAATTTCATCCATATAGGAGCACATTGCATAAACCCTAAATTTTACCACCACAAGAACATGATACTGCCTTGTAGTTTTAGCATTAGCAATTTGCTTTTCGATGAATCTCGGATCTTTGAATAGATCGTTTAAACGTTTGCATGTAGACCGTGGTCGTCTCAGAGATATCATCGGAACCCTAAGAAATATCTCCTCTATCAGATCCTGTGGAAGATCTAAGTTCATCGTTGTTTCTCTTGTGATTTTTGACATCGATCTTACAGAGGAGAAAGCTATGACAGTAAGTTAGATATTTATTAGGGTTTTAACTAAACCTAATTAACCCTCGCTTGATACACAAGTAAAAATATAAATAAACAAAGTAGAAAGAAAAAATTTTGGGTTCACCCCTAGGGGTAAACCTATTATGTTCACCCCCTTTATTTCATCCAATCAAAATCTACCACCTAATAATAAAAAAAAAATTATTTAATTATAAAATTTAATTTGCTACTAAAACGAAATTATGTATCGGTTTAGGTTTATTAGAAAGGGTTAGGGTTTAGATTTTATGATTAAACGAGGTTAACTATCGGTTTGGGTTTATAAACGGGTTTAGATTTTACAACTAAATGAGGTTAAATGTCGGTTTGGGTTTAAAAAATACGATTAAGGTTTAGATTTTTTATGATTAAACGAGTTTAAATGACGGTTTGGGTTTACAAAGGAGAATTAGGGTTTAGAATTTGTAATTAAACGAGATTATATATCGGTTTGGGTTTGTAAAAGAGTGGATATGACTTAATCTTATTGTTTTATTTAGAAAATATTAATTATTTTAATTTTTTTAACTAGATGACATGACAAATTCTAATTGGATAATTAAGAGGAGGTGAATGAAAGTGGTTCACCCCTAGGGGTGAACCCAAGAATTGTTCAAGTAGAAATTACCTCACTCCGTGATTCCGTGAAGTAGTCTTCTCGAAGACGTTGATTCTCTAAAGCGAATTCAGGGAATGGTTTGAGAAAAAGTTAAGAGCAACCTCATTGATGGTCTCTTAACGTTAGCTCTTAGGATTAGTTTAGTATATTAATTTTGTAAATTTAAAACTTAAGTTGTTTATTGGTTTTAAATTATATGTGTCTCGTTTTTAACTTGTGGTTCTTAGAGAAAAAAAAAAAACCTTAATTTAAAAATAAAATTTATAAACATTTTTTTAATTTTAGAAAACTGAATAATTATTGCAATCATAAAATAAAAAAAATTAGTTATGGGTCTTTCGGGTAGAGGAGTTTAGGATCCAATAGAATAAATAAAAAAATCAGTTCGGTTTACGTTCGGGTCCTTTCGGATTCGGATCGGTTCCGGTATAAATTTTCGGAACCGCTAAATATCCGCTATATAAATGTTCGGGTAAATTGTCGGGTTTTCGGATAAATACCCGGGTGTTTAGATAAATATCCGATTTTTCGGATAAATATTTGGGTTTTCGGTTAAAAATTCAAATTTCGAGTAAAATTTAGAGTTTTCGAATAAAACATTCGGGTATATTCGGGTTCGGATCGGGTTTTTGGGTATATGAGTTTAGGAACCAATTGAGTAAATCTAAATTTTCGGGTTTGGGTCGAATTTTTCGGGTTAGCATGGATTCTAGAGACATTTTCAAAAAGAAGAAGATAAAAAAAAATGCTAAGAATTAATGTTAAGAACTGGATTTTTGGCTTTTATATAAGAGATAGTTCTTAGGATTTAAGGTAATTAGATGAATACCCACGCTACGCGTGGGTTTGTTTTAAAAATTATTTTTTTCGTTGATGTTTTAAAAAATGTTAAGAACAAAATATTTTTATTGTTCTTGTTGCTAGTTGATCACCCGCTTTACGCTGCAGATTTTTTCCGTTTTTTTATTTTGATTTATTTGTTGTTATATTTTGATAAATATAATTTTTAATTATCTAATCATTTACTCATGCAATGAACAACTACTCTTAGTATTAAAATACGTTTTCAACCAACATACTCAACAATGCATCACTCACACAATCCGTAAACAATCTTTTTCCTAAACCAATTTTATAGATGGTAATGTTGGAATTAGAACCTCAAAAATTTGATGACCTTACGTACTCCTCACCCTCAGTGTCATATATAGATCAAAAAATTAAGAGAAAAACTTTACTCAAACTATTAGTTAATCCACTATACTATTATCCACTCATACTTTGAGTTAAGATTACAAAAATTAGCGAAAAAACTTTGGAGTATATAAAAGTAATAAAATAATTTCATTGAAAAAACATATAATAACAAAATAAGTTAGTATTAGTAGAAATCAATATGTAAAATTAAATAATATATATAATTAAATAATAAATATATTATTAACTTATGAAATAGAAGATGTAAAGTTTACATTAATTATTTAGTGAACACATGATAAATGCTAAAGTAATGTTGTGTCAATCAATATGGAGAGACAATACATATATTAAAAGCTAATTAATTAATAAATTAATGAAAGCTTTCGTGAGCCTTATTATTTTCTCTCACATTTTCAATCAATTATGCGCTCTTAATAGATTTTCAAATCCATATGGCCATCGGTCATGGGCTATTCTGTTTTCCCCATTTGACAATTCCAATTAAAATCTGATGTGTAAAAAATAAAAGCTGAATCATATTAATGAAATGTTTTGATTAGAAGAATAGAAAGCTATGTGTCAATTCCTGAATAGCCTAAAATGCTGACGTGACGGAAGGACGGAGAGAGATAGCCTCCTTTCATATATATGATTATTCATTTAATTTTTATAAAAATTAATACTATTATACTAAGAACTTCTTTAGAACCCCTTGTTGGAGATGGTCTATAAGCCTAAAACAAAAGAAAGAATGTAAGTCTCTTCTCTTATATATAGAGACTAGGATTCAACCCGCGGTACTCCGCGGGTATCGGTTTTATTCGGTTTTCCTATTAAGTATTTGATAATTTATAATTTATAATTATAACATATGTTTTTTTTGGTGGTTGTTAAATTTTCAAAAAAGGAGAATGTGTTTTAATGTGGTTAAACATGTGTATTATTTAATATATTTGTATCAAAATTTAATATAGTTAAAGTATTATAATTTTCAGGTGTCTAACAGTAATTTTTATCTTCTAGAGAATATTGTGATCTTACATTTTTACTGTTTTGTAAATTCAAAAATTTTGGACCAGAAATTTCGTGGATCTTTAAAAGAAGAATTTATAAGTTTGAATTATTATTAAAATTATATGATTTCAGATTTTATTGATATTTCAAATGAAAATAAGCTAATTAACCTGTGTATATAACCCGTCAAATAAAATACAAATTAAAATTTAAAGTTGTTTCTTTTACAACTTCAAATGTAAAAAGAATAATTGTTTCTATTATATTTATACCTTTAGCATATTGCTAAAAAACATAAAGTTTTAAGTAGAGACAAAATCAAAATTAAAGGAAATATTAAAAATTGAAACCCTAACTCCAGTCGGATATCCTCTTTGACTTATCATTCACCCCGCCATTGTTGTCCACTCATAGATCTTATATGAAAAAAAAAATTAAAATTGGAATGTGTTTGACATATAAATTGAAGATGATAGAATTGGAATAGATTTAATAAAACACAATTGAAAAGAAAATTAACACAAAAAATAAAATACTATTGGTTCTTCGACGATCTATATTATGCCTACATTTTGTT